AGGAGAGAGCCGTTGCGATTAAGGTAGAATGCAGAGTCCATCAGAAAAATGATAGGGGCCAGAGCCCGACGTCAAAGACGCCCAGAGAGAAGCAGCGGAATGTAGAATATGGGGGCCGCCAGAGGCGGAGAAAGGCGCGAATGGCCCGACGCTGAGAGGCGTCCAGACTGGACGGTCAACGGAGGCGAGTGCCTCGACGCGGAGAAGCGCGCGGTGAGATTGGTAGAAAAGGGCAAGAGAGGCGGTCGGGGATCATTGCGCCTTGCCGTTGACCTTGCCATTGGCAGCCTTGCCGTTGGCCTTGCCATTCTGCTTGGCTGCGAGCTTGCGCGCCTTGTCCTTTGCGTACGTCTTTTGGTAAAAGGCAATAAAGAGGAAGAGGTACGAGGTGAGGCAGATGATGCCGGAGAAGGCGGCGTGTTCCTTGCCGGCGCACGTGCCGACGTGCGGGACGTTGGGGAAGTAGGTGTAGGCGAAGTAGTTGTACGAGGCAAAGTAGACCACGAACAGGTCGATCACGAACTGGGTGATCTGCGCCGTGGTGACCGACTTCTTCCAGGGGCAGCGGATCTTGAGCGAGGTGAGCGCGTAGTAGAAGTACATGAGCACGTGCACTGCGAGGTTGAGGCAGATGACCACCCACGACACGGACGTCTTTCCGTGCAGCTGCGAGAAGCACAGCACGGCGGTGGCCGAGTGGTGGTAGACGTGCAGGAAGGCGAGCGGCTTCTTCTTGAGCACGAGAAAGACGGTGTCGATGAGCTCCCAGTATTTAAAGTAGTAGTTGATCATGTAGTACGTCTCGAGCTTCATCGTCCACGCGCCCTCGCCGCAGATTCCGTAAAAGAGGCCGTTGCGACGCACGATGGGCACGATTTCCTCGAGCATGAGCGCGAGCAGAAGACCCGAGCCAAATGTGAGCGCGAGGTTGTGCAGCAGGAAGGGCAGCTTGATGCTCGTCGTCAACGGCGCGCGGTTCTTCATCAGCTCACGGCCACCAAAGATGACGGCGAGGTAGGTGATCACGGCAGCCACCAGCGCGGGCACGGTCGAGATGGGCGACTTGCCCGGGATCCACGCGAGCAGATGCACGGGCGTGTCGTTCTTGATGTTTTGCGGGATCGCCGCCACCACGGCGTCGTAGATCGACACCATCTTGAAGAAAAATGTAGCTGAAGCAGAAGAAAAAAGAAAAACGGAGCAGGGGAAAGAGGTTCGCGGGGAGACCCAGAGCGAGATGATGGTGGGAAGGAAAGCTCCGAGGCGATGAGGAGGAGGGCGGGAATCCTATGGCCAATTGGCGCCCCCGACTCGAAGCGCGCGCGGCGGCCGGAAGATCCACGACGGCGCTGCGCAGCTGCGCATGGACGGCTCTGCTGCTGCGAGTGACGGCGAGGCCGAAGCTGGCGGCGCATCCGAGCCGGCCATCAGAGCGACGCATCTGTACGACCGGACTTGAAGCCCATCGGAACGACGCGATTGTTTGGGTTTCGCCTGCCAGCGTGAGCCAGCCAGGCAGCCAGGCACCCTGCCACTCGTGTGACGCAACTGGACAGAGAGACCAACACCCGCTCAACTTTTTCGCGTTTCCAACCAAAAACCCTCTCTCTGCCACACACACACACACCGATACGCGAGCGAGCGAGAGCGGCTCTTCCGCACGCCGTCAGCAGTGCATCACTGTCAAGTGGTCGTGGGAAAAAAAAATCCCATCCCGCCTGCCATGGTCGAATTGATGCAAGATGTGCAGGCAGGCTGTCTGGGCCGTGAATGCACGCCCGCC